TCACGATAAGTCAAATGAGAATCCAAAGTAATTCCAAGATATTTGTAGGTAGTGACAATATCAAGGGGTTTGTTTAAAAAAGTGAGTTGATTTGTTAYATTGAAATGTCTCCTGGGTGAGGAAAATACATGCACACAGTTTTTTTTAACATTAAGTGACAAAAGATTATCTTGAAGCCAACCATGAAATGTCTGAAGATCTGCTTGTAACTGACTATTAATAGATTCAATATTGAAATCAGACAAAAAAGAATAGTATCATCAGCATACATTAAAATATTTGAATACTTCAATATTTTTGGAAGGTCATTTATGTATAATAGGAAAAGCAATGGGCCCAGTATGCTACCCTGCGGAACTCCCACAGAACAGGGCACAGACCCGGACACAGAGCTTCCATGTTTCACAACCTGACACCTATCAGTCAAATAAGAGGAAAACATTTGCATTGCAGATGATGAAAGTTGAAAAGAAATCAACTTTTGTAAGAGAGTATAATGATCAACTGTGTCAAACGCTTTATGAAAATCAATATATACAGCACCAGTTACTTGACCTTTGTTCAAAGCAGCACGTATTTGTTCAGTGAATAAAATTAATGCAGACATGTTTGACCCCGACGTGCAGAAACCATGTTGGCTATTGCTTAGCATATTATTAGCTTCTAGATGCTGAAGTAGTTGATTAAATAATGTTTTTTCAAGTAACTTAGAAAAAATAGTAAGAACAGAAATTGGCTGATAGTTTGAAACTTCTGTTGGATCCCAGCTTTAAAAATGGGAGTAATCTGAGCAAACTTCCAGGCATCAGGGAAAATAGACTGCACAATACATAAATTAAGCAAATGATGAAACAATGGTAAAAAAAAAGTGTTGCATGCATTTTCAAGAAATCCATATTTATCTTATATTTGTCAAATGCATTTGAGCCATTTAGATGAAAGCCAGTAATCATTAAACATGTTTTTGATAACCATGATCACATCATTTGTCCAAAAATACTCTCTCTGGAGAAATTTCACTCCAGCACCATGTGTACATGAGAACAGAGACATGAAAAACTAAAGCCTGTGGTTCCATGAGTTAATGTTGAAGTATCAAAGGCTTCCACTGTCTGAGTTAATATTGACTCCTGTCATTGCAGAGGAATGTGGTTTAACCACAGAAACATGTCAGATCAGGGTCTATAAGCTCTTGCCTTCAGCACAGTTTTTCTTCATTCTCTTCAAAGGTTCATTGGATAATCATAATTTTAAAAAAAGTTCAACATGAAAGTTAAAATTCCACATCTGTGTTATTTAAATATCTTCTCTTTTCTTGTTTTATCTCATTTTCAAGTTCACATTCATAATAAATTCATTTGATCAGTTAAAATCGATTTGGTTTCACTACCTGTGTTATAAAAATGCAACACAGCAGCACAAAAAGTTATAATTTGAAAGGTTTACTCAATTCTGATTTTCTGTCTACATCATAATTTAAATTTAGTGTGGCTTCGGAAAAAAAATCCTACTCAAACTGGTTTGTTATATGCGTTAGATTTCAACACAACATTTAAATTGTTTATTTCCTGTTACTGAAACTTTACGTCACTGAATGTGATGAGAATTTACAGTTTACAGCACGCCCAACATTTTATTTAAGACTCCCTTCTAAACCTTAGACCCCAGGTCCTGTTGGACCTCCAAGATCCTTACATGATACAGTATATTAGCATGTCTGGTAAATATGAGCTGATCTTAAAGGATCTGTTGTGCATTAAACTTTTCCAGCCAGAGCCGATCCTCCTGAGGTGACCACCAGAACAGAAGACGATTGTAGATTCAGGTCATAAAATAATCCCCGAAGGAAGTGCTCACTTTGTCTGAAAATGCAAATCTCTAATCCTGGTCATAAAACTTTATTACTTTACTTGAGCACAAAGAACAGAACTCTATGAATTAAAACTTGGATGTATGTTTTTGTGTGAACACAGAGCTTTTAATTGAGACGTGTATGGGGTCATTCCAGTACTGACCTCTATAGGACACACGTCCACACATGAACTTCACAGGGATCACATTATTTATTTATCTCTAGAAGCAAATTTATTACTGACATGTTTTCTGTCGTAACACTTTGACACTGATACTGTATGTTTAACGTAGCTGTAATTCCTTAAAAACTTCACACGTTTAAGTCCTCGTTGTTCTGAAAAGTTTAATTTTGACCTCTATGGTTGATACACATTGCTTTTGACCTAATAAATAAAAAGAGCATGTACACAATTTTAATCAATTTTGCATCAAACTTTAGATTCTAAACCAGAATTTTGTTATTAAACTATCTTTTCATTTTGCAAAAATGAAATTGCTCATTTATTAATTTGTTTCTTGGAATCTTATAATCAGTATTTGTGATTTTCCCCTCTGAAACTTATTTTCATAAATAATCCATGGTAGTCAGGAACTTTAATATATTTCTTAATGAGTGTAACTTTTAAATATTCAAAAATAAAGCTATAATTAGCGAAATGTTGCTTTTTAAGTCACACAAATGCACTGAAGTTTTAATAATACGCACAAATCTTCAAATTTGAATGAAAAAATAATCTTTTCAAAAACTTTTTGCAACATTTGTAAGGCAATTTGGTGCAAACTAAAACAGCAAGTGCATTTTCTTACTGTTTTTGCAGAGTTTCTTTTATTTTCAATAGAGTCCCCAAACCCATCAGCTGTCATCCTGCCTCGTGGCTTTCTCTGCATCTTTTTTCTTCCTGCTCATTATTTTCTTACTCTCAGCTGCTCATAAAAGCCACATTGCCTTCCGACTCTTTCCAACTTCCTAGCTTTAATGTTGTCGAAGTTCGACGAACTCCCTCTCTACCTCTTCTGAAAATCCCTTCCTACTTTCTGTCTCCTCATTATTTTCTTGCCAGCAGCTGCAGAGTTTTCTGTCTTATTGGCCAAACTCTTCCTATCATTGCCGTCTAATTAGGAGTGTTTTCTAACAACATTTAATCATCTCTGATAGTGATGAGCCTCAGCAGAGGACACGGTTTCTACTATTTGGCCTTGGTTTTGATCTGACTGCTGTGATGAAAACAAAGTAAAAAGGAACAGTTTTTTGGGCTACGCTTATAAATCTGTAGCTTCTTCTTGTAATGAAAATGATTCAGAGCAAAGGTGGTTTGAATTTACTTGTTTAAGTTGGATGAACTGTATGTTATTTATAAAAAAGAAAAAACACAGCTGTCTATTTGTTGCAAAAAAAGGCTTGAACTAAAGATGTGGTCAATAATTCATTATCTAATGGATGTTATCTGTATAATATATATTCATCTGCATTTTCATTTACAAAAAAGCAAAGACTTGTGTTTTTAACAAGGTGGAAACTGCTCAGATATTATTTTTATTGTCTTAAAATAAACACAGTTCCACCCATTTATCCGTTAGTGATATTCAATTTGGAGCCAGACGTGTTTTTAACACATTTCATTAAGCGATCTAAAACAAGCAAATTACTGAAAGATAAATAAAGAGAAAGGAATCTTTGGGAAACATCCAGGCCTACCCAGACGCTGTGAGAGAAGTGGATCTGTGGTGAGACAGATCAGATGTGTGAATCTCCACGCCTCAGTGATGGACAAGGTATCACGGGGCCCTCGAGCTTCACTTTGTCAATACTCTCGCTGAGTGGTGAGTGACTCGAGCTCGTTTCTCACCCTCTCTCTGTGTTTGCGTGTGCATTCTCGTCTGCGGGGTACCGGGGCGAGGGACAGAGTGTGACGGAGGAGTGATGAGAGACGGGCGGAAAGTCGATTCGGCCCCGTGACTCTTTCACCGAGAGCTCGGCGTGCTGACGACACCTTCTCACACGTAGTGTTTCTCTCCTCTTGGCTTCACCTTGACAGGAAGAGACGGAAGCTGAAGAAGGAACTGAATCAAAAGGGAAAGGCAGATTTAAATGACGTTTGTGAGAGGAGTGGAAGCTGTGGGAGTCTGAAAGGCTGGGTAGCAGTAGACTAGTTATATTTATGTTCTAGTGTGTGTGTGTGTGTGTGTATAAAACATTTTGAGGAGACACCCTGTGTCTCCATGAACTTAAACTCACCCCGATCTCCCCAACACCCACAGAGCCTTTGTCTCAACCTTTTGACTCTGAAGCTGCTGTCGGATCACTGAGGAAATGTTACCTTGGGATGTTTAGTCATTTGAAATATTGTTCACTTTTCTACTATTTTATTTTTCTCTGTCATACCGAGTCAATATCGACTTTGTGTGTGTTTGAGTGTGTATGAAAATCACTGTGTTGTTTCTGTAAGTATTGCAAGAAGTATGTATTCATAGAAAAAAGGTACGTTTGTTTGGGAACAAAATCATCGACCCAGCAGGGAATCCAGGAAGCAGCTGGAATCTCTTGACCTTCACGACTTCTCAGGGCTGAAGGAATGCATCTTTATCTTTACGTTTTATTGGTTGCTACAGATATTCATTCTTTTATGGGTTGAAGAAATGAGTAAATATAGATTTTATCACCTGACTGTTTCACCTGGCTGCTTCCTCACGACAACTCAGAGCAAATTCATGTACCAAACGGCAAAAAATGTCACAAAATGCTGTTGTTTCCTTCAAAAATCATTAAATTTAAAATGAGCAACACACAAATAAATGTCTGAATTCCACTGCTCACCATTTTGTCCTTTCTTTCTGCAGATTTGATCTCCACCAACCGGTCATCTATCTTCAGTGGGTATGATGGCCATCTCTCACTTAGTGCCATCTTTCTGGATGAGTACCGCGATCGTCTGTTTCTGGGAGGGAAAGACGTCCTGTACTCTCTCATGTTGAGTCCTGTCAGCAGTGAATCTAAAGAGGTGAGGTTTCAGGACAGAGCAAATGATTTAAGCAAAATAGAAAAAAAAAGATGTGTTATTTTGCCAAGATTGATGTATAATCAAAGATTAGGTATTGCATTGCGCATTTTTTATTGCATATGTATTACAGTTACTGATATAGTGTAAGAGGCCAGTAAAAAGGATGATATATGACTAAGGAGACACTGAAGATTTGCTTTATTTCCAGAAACGTTCCTTTGTAAAACATCTGTTTAAGTTTATTTAGCTATAAATCATGCATTAACAGGGAGTGGGAGCCAAACATTCACAGATGTCTCACGTAATGTTGCTTTTGCGTCATAGGGGAAACGTGGAAAAAATTAAATAAATTTGATAAAAGATAAATTTTCAGATAAATTGAACGAGATATGATCACACATTTGTTGCACTACACTTGCATTGCAATCAGTAGTGTATTTTATTACTGATTCTAAACCTTCTAATCTTTGTAAAATTTTATGTCTCATCCAGCTGTATCTACCTTGCTGATGTAGAAATACCTGTGAAAGTGAAAATACTCAGATTTGTTGTTGTAGTTTTACACTCCCTTGAGTTTAATCAGTACATCATTGATGCTTGTCAAATACAGAGGTAACACTATCATTTTCAAAATGATATAAAATATTCATGTCTTCTGTGTCTTAGTTCAGCAAGCCTGTGTTCACATTTGAATTTAATTCTTATTAAATACAGTTTATCCCATGAAACAGTAGATGAGTTTTAGTACGATTTGTAGATTTAGTGAAGTATTAAACATTTAACTCGAATCTTATGAGATCCCAGTGAACTTTTCTTGAAAGTCTTTTGTCATCAGGGAAATAAGGGAGTTAAAATTAGATTAGGGTTTCATTTCACCAGAATGAATTTCCAGAAGGGTTTATGAAATAAACAAAGTGCTGCATAAACATGTTCATACTGTATTTTACTGTACTGGTTTGTTCTCAACAAAAACAACTGTCTAAAACTGATATCCCCAGTGCGGTCCAGAGAGGGACAGAAGTGTGTGAGCCAGTGTGTGTGTCTTTGTGACCGCTGATTTAATCAGTGAAAGTACACAAAAAGCCAGTTTGATGGTCCCATGGGATACTTCTTTTTTCTTGGAAGCTAACACCGAATATTCTTGTTTCTGCTGGATTTAGCAAATATTAGCTCAGTAAAAAGATTTGCAAGTGAAAACCCATCAGCCTCATAGATTAGCTCTTGAAATGAATGGTTTCAGGAAACGGGTTGAGGGTGAAGCTTTGATTCAAGTGGAGAAGTTCAAGGACCTGGGAGTCTTGTTTATGAAGGATTGAAGAATGAAGCAGGAGGTTAGACCTGCAGTAATAAGAGCGTGGTGGTGAAAAATGAACTGAATCGAACAACAAAGCTATGATTGAATTGTTCATCTAGTCACAATATATATTTTTTTCTGACCCAGATCTGGCCCACACAATGCACTAAAGCCCCAACTCCACAGGCACTCCTCCTCGGTTCAGCCTCGGCCAAATGTGCCTCGATTTTCGGTTCCAACCTCACTTTCAGAACCACCTCAGCAGGGGATCCAAGTGGGCACAACTGAGTGTTGCACGAAAAAAACAACTTTGACATCAGTAGACTGCTGCCTGTGGAATGGCTGAGTCAAAGCAGAACTTGCTCCTACAAACTTCTTGGAGATGCGCACATACAGCTTGAGCTAGACACAACAGTTTGAAATAATCAGGTATCCCCGGGACGTTTTGGCCAAACTGGCTGCCCATGTTTACACACGCACTTATAAACAATGACTCGACAAAAAAAATAAATGCTGGGTAATAAAGCCACCAGCTTCAGCTGACGCTCTGCCCACAGAGTGAGGAAACACACTGCCACAGAGACACACAGACCTGAGCAGAACTGAACAGATGGGAAAAGACTGAGACTTGTCCATGGAGACAGAACTGACAACACTCTAACACCGACCCAGATACTGCAAAGAATGATGGCCCGTTGGTAGTTTGTCAGATGTGGTCCATGCATGGACCCCACATAAACCAGGGGTCTGCAACCTTTACGATTAAAAGAGCCATTTCTGCTATGACACACTAATAAAATGTGTCCAGAGCCACAAAACAAGCTACAACTATGATTACCAACTGGTGGTCCACGGGCCTGTTAGAGGCCTTTTTGGGAACCTTTACGGCCAGTGGAGGTGACATAAAACTAAAAAGTATGTTGTGAATTTTATTATTTATCATTATTTTTACACATCAGGACAAATAAAAAGACCATATCCATGTAAACAAGAAAACATACTGTAAATAGTGTATATTGAACTTCATAAAAACTAGTACAACTGAACTATTCAGACATACTTTTTTTTCCTAATTCTTATTATGTAGCCTTCAAATTCTTTAAAGGTAATTATGATGGACTTGAGAGAAAGATCGTAGAAAGAAAATGGATTATTTAAGTAAACAGGCTAGCGTGAGCTAATCTGGCTGGCAGATTGGATAGATGGAGCTCAAGGCCGTTCTGATTTAGTTTGGATGAAAAGAACGCTTACAATACATATTTTACTTTATCCAAGTCTTTACTGGCAATTTAGTTATACAAAAATTTTCTATATAAAACAAAATCAACACAGGAATGTCACAACCTTTACTCTGCTTGTTATTATTTGTACTAAATATCTGGCACAGAGTGTAAAATGAAACGTGCAGTATTTTGTTGCACAAAGTATGGAATCAGTATAAATCAGATGATGCTGGCTCAGTCCAAGCTGTATGATTTTGTTAAATTTTCTCATACTTATTTAAAGTTGGGCATTTCCTCAACATTAATCACACCACCTACCCTTGTACAAAATATTGTTCAGCAAAATTACTTTCCCCCCTCTTACTCAATGCTAAAAGATAAACACATATGGGATTTAAAACTTTTGGTCTTTGATTATTTTAGAGCAAATGAAGTGTTCCTTCATTTGGATGTTTTTCAAAGTGTGAATGGGATTAGCTGTTGCAGACGTTTCTTGTGTTTCTTCACGTTCAGACAACTCGTTTATTTTGCTCGGGGTTTGGTTACCTTCACTGAGCTGTGCGAGTTGGGCTACCTTGGTGATTGTGGAGATGGCGCCTGGCCCAGCTTACTTAGAACACCAGAGTAATCCCATTTGGCCTGAAAAGAATACTGTGTTAGAAGTGCTGTGTTGATGAACGCAGAGCATGTGTTGAAAAGTTGTGTTATTTTCTGTTGGAACACTTTTTTATTTTATTGTTTTAGAGAGTTTTAATGGTTTTGGTGCTTTAGTCCAATTTTTGAATCAAGCATTTTTCTACCACAGTTGGATCTTACTTAGCTTTTGAATGTTGGGTTACTTTAAGGGCAAATAAACATCAACAAATCTCTGATATTTGTTGTCTCTGAACTGCTGCTGTTTACAGCAGTTCAAAGTATAATTTATGTGATCTGTTTGATCTATTTTGGTTTTAATTTAATTATTTTTTTCCCTATGATTTTGGTTGACTATTAGTATTGTTCCAGACTCTTCTGTTCCTTCAAAAGACCCTGTTTATTTACAGATGCAGTTTAATGTCGAAGGACAGTTTTTGTTTGTGAATGTTGTTTGATTCCCATCTTGAAAAGAGTTTTTGCAGATTAAAAGGTTATTAAAAAAATCTAAGAAAACATTAAATCAAACAGCACATTTCTGAGGCGGAGTCGCTTTGTCTGAATGAAATAATTTATCAAAGGTTTTAACAAGAATGGAAGGTGGAGTTTGGCCACCAAAGCTTGGTTTAAAGTTGACGTGTCAAACACGGTGCGAGTGCCATCAGTGACGCAATCGCACCATCCCCACACGGTGTCGCGACGTGTGGCTGTGCACCTCCAAATTTTTGTAATTCTGCACAGGCTGCACTCCATTCAAATACTTTATTTGTCTGTCAAGCTTGAGTTCTTTTGTTACAACATTTCACACATTATAAAGTGTACTGCCACATGCACACACTTACACCAATGTAAGCATCCAGTATAATCGCCTTCACCGCTTGCAGGCAGGGGGCAAGAACCATCCTTAAGAGCCTAAGAGACTTTTAGACAATGGATAAAATTGCAAAACACTGTTTGATATATTCATGAGGCAGGTTTAGAGGAGGTCTGACTGAATAGTAGATTAATCTCAGTAAAGCATTTAAAGTTTGAGTTTGGTGTGATGCAGATCTTGCTTCAATGCAACTCTTAGATATAAAAGATATGATCCTTTTTTATACTTGTGTATCGGATCAGAGGAGAGGTACAGTCTGCAGGTCACCTGTCCATTGCACGGCCAACAGTTTGAAACAAAAAACAATCAGATGTAGAGCTTAATTAGTTTCAGTCCTTCTGATTCCTGCAGATAACAGTGCTGCAGGTGTTTCCAGATTTATAACAAAGGAGATGAAATCTGTCCTCAGTTTTCCTGCTGACCCAAAATCTGTGTGATAAGAACCAGAAGAGAATGTGACTCAGAGCTGAAACAACAAAGTGTTTTTTTTAATACAGCTTCCTTTTCATTTTCACTATGTTTCTATAGCTACACGAACTCTGCACGCGTTGTCATGCACATGCTGAGTACAATAAGCCAAAGTGATGCCAGTCTGGACCTTTTGTTTTTTTTTCCTCACTGGCTTTTTATCTTTGTAAGTCAAAACAAAGACAGTTTCCTATTTGACCAGACAAAGACTTGTTGTTTGCACAAAACAACAGCTTTATAACGGCCATAAAAATTCAACATAAATGAATTTTCCAGAGACAGTTACATTTCATTTTGGAGTCACAGAAATTATTGTGAAAGTAATCGCAATGTCTCGGGTCAAATTTTCATTTCATGGTTATCTGAGACCCAACAAATTTTCCCACGTCGTTGTCGGACTGGGAGGAGGAGTTTGTGACATTCCAGATCAGTCTTGGAACCTTCACTGTGAAAACTTCATTACAGAAAACAAGGAACGTTTTACTGTGAAAACACTAAACATTTGAGCCTGAGGGCGGTTTGTATTTTAGCACTTTTCCTCTGCTTATCTGTGACCTAAGATCTGGTTTCAGTTTTTGGAACAAAAAACGAAGATTTACTGAGGGACAATCACATTTCTCAAGAGAGAAATAATGTTGACTGAAAATCTTGATGGAGTTTTAATGCAGTAAAAACAGTTTGCTTCCAATTAACCCCATGTTGCAAGAGATAATGAAAACTAAACAACAACAATTAATGATGATTGTGGGGATTATAGCATTACATCACTGAACAATAACTTTCTTCTTCTTTCTTTAAGTCTTTCTAAAGCAGGATATGTTTTAAGACCTGAAAAGTGCTTCTTTTTCTTGCCATTTTTTAACAAACCCAGTGAAATCATGATCATTGGCTTCTGGAGTTAAAGAGAGCGACACTACATCTGTTTCTTCTCTACAAGGTTTCGATTTTTAACAAGCAAAAGTTCACTAGTATAAACTCTTTAACTGCTTGTTTAAAAGGCTTCATTTTAAAGCCTTTGGTTTCATTATGTGTGTATGATCTGCTTTGGTCCATTTGCTCCCATTTTCTGCAAAGCTGAACATTTCTGAGGAACAATTTACATTTACTGTTCACCACACTCCCCAAGGCTGAAAGCTATGTTTGTATTATGCACCACAAATTTATGTGCCTCCCTTGAAGCAATTACATTTTGCAATATGGCTGAGCATGGCATCTCTTTGCACAATAACATAGTTATGAGACAGTTATTCATCAAACTCTTTTGCCTCTTTGTTGGCAGATCTACTGGCCCCCGTTACCGGGAAACAGAGAGGACTGCATTCAGATGGGGAAGGAACAGGTAAACAATTATTCTTGACTTTTCTAGTTTATCCATTTTTGATGTGTCCTGTTTTGTCTTTAGATATCTCACTGCCTTCAGGTGTTCATTTTTCAGGGATTACATGTCTACTATTTAGAGTTTCCTGAAAACACACCCACCTGTCTTCTGTAATGAGCCCCCCTGCCCATGCTGAGTTTTTAATTTACTTCCCTTCCTGTTCTTTCTCTGTACCAGCTGGGTCCCAGTGTTTGCCTTTTAAAATCTCCTTGTTTCTCACCGAAATCTGAGATTTGACAACATGATGTTAAAAACAACACAACAAAACCTTAAATTTTCATAATCGAAGTGGCTTGAGCTGACTTAAAAGGCTGAAGATTTTTAAACTAAATTTTGGAGTGATAATAACTCAACATAACTCTGACCTTCACTCATCATGTAATCCTGTCAAATACTGGACGTGCTTGCTTGAGCTAAAATATTATGTTATTAAGTTTTTATTAGTGTGATTAAAAATATTTATCGCCTGGATCAGGGGTTCTCAAATGATTTGGGCCTGGGGACCCCTTACAAAGGTGAAACATTTCCAGGGGACCCCCCCCCCCCCACACACACACACACAACATAAACCTCAAGCTGATTTATAAATATTTTAATGCAATTTTAACCCCTATCTGCCATGGGAATAATTATTATTTGTTTGGTTTAGTAAATTTGTTTTAGTTGTACATTGTTCTGCATACAATGCTAAAAGTAAAAACAAAAAACAAAATCAACAATTTATTGTAATATTTTGAGGACCCCCAAGGTACAGCTCGTGGATCCTATGGGGTCCTGGGACCCCTCAGTTTGAGAACCTCTGGTCTAGATAGGTCAAGCTGTGATGGGGTGACCCAGGATTTTTTTTTTGCAAACTTTTTATATAAGAAGTTTGAAAATGATAAATTCAAAAGCAAGTAAAACTTGCGTTTGGGTAATGAAGACATATTTAAAGCTATTTAATATTTCTGCACGGATAAAGAAGTAAAAATATCAATCAATCAATCTTTATTCCAGACACAAAAAAGGTCCATAGTAGAAAAAAAGGTAAAAACAAAATAAGAGAAAGAATAAAAATAAACATGACATATTCACTGAGTCACAAATAAATGATGACGCCAATGTTTCCACAATCTTGAGAAAAATCTCACTGTACTATAAAACAGGATTTACTAAAATTGCAATTACATTACAAAATAAATTCCATCATGGCATCATGATTTGTGTTAAATATTCTGTGGAACAGTTCAAACAGGTGAAACAAAAAATAGGACTGATACAAAAGCAAACATCAAAAGTAAAAGGTTTTAAAATACGGGAATTAGTGCTAGTTTTAGTCATTTCAGGAAAATAAACTTAATTTTCACATTGGTATTAAGAATATTTTGTTTAGCTATAAATGTATTCGCAAGCTGCACATGTTTTAAAAACACTGATTTTTACACCCTTTTTGCACACAGCAGGATGGCTGACAGTCTTCCCATCTGGAACAACTTAGTCATTGTATGTTTCTGTGTGTATACTGCTATACATTATATATGTTTTGAAGTGGCAGGTGTGTCCAGAGTGTCTTATATCAGTTTTATTAAGTGTTTCCTACGTGCTGCACACTGGTTTCACATGGTGTTAGACGTGTGAGCTGCTGTCCTGCCTGCAGCTGAGCAAAGGCACAAGCCATTATCAGTTTGGGGGTAACTTCATCTTCCCTGTAGAAAAGGAAACCAGGGAATCTGCCTGTTTCTCTGGGAAACAAATTGAAACGTTTGTCTGCCGTTGTTAAGTTAGACATATTCCTTCATTTCTTCACGTTTTCTGTTTTCTATGAGACCTTTGGTGTCAAACTGGATGAATTAGTGTATTCTGTGGCATTTACAAGGGAAGAGACTAATGAGACTGGAACACTTGGCCACATGTTTTACATCTCATGTTTGCAAGGCATGTCTGTTTACCACAGACACAAAGGAGGCAGGGGTTAAGAGGTGAAAGGTGTTCACGTTGTTTCTTTTTACTTTACTGTGTGTGTGCATATGAGACCAAATTACAAAAAGAAGGCAGTGTTATATAAACAAAGCTTTAGTTTTAATAGTAAAGGTAAGTTTCTGCATTTAACTTTGCATTCACTGAAGCAAAAATAGGTATTTTAAAAATTGCATGACAATCAAACATGTCGATGCACTGATTAAAACAGTCTTTGCTCGCATCGCCAACCTTCCCTCAACAAGTGCCAAAACAACTTTAAGCATGTTTTTAATGATAGCATTTCCTCATAGAGTCCCGACCTCGTAGCTGTCTCAGTCATTATTCACATCTTAGACAAATAAAGACCAAGCAGGAGGAGGAGGTATTCAGTGATTCCAAAGAAACTTGCACTGTCTTGCTCCAGTTGTTGCATTTTTCTGCTTCATCTATTTGCATGTTTTGCTTGGAATGTGATCAAAAAGCATCAGTGAGAGAGCTGTTTATTTCAGAACGTAACAGAAAAGGTTGCAAAATAATGTTCAGGTTTTAGGTGAATGTATTTACACAAGCAGTTTACATCTTTGCCTGTGTAGACTGCGTTTTTGTAGGTTTAGATACAAAACGTTGTTTTAATCTTCGTGGTATTTAATTAAAATGATGTCATAACTAATTACGATATCATTGATTTAAGTAAAATACTTAGATGGTGCCAGTTAGAGCTGGGTATCTATTCAGATTTCCCAAATCAATTCGATTTGATTCACAGGAACCCAATTTGATTCACGACAATTCACGACGATTCATGATGATTGACAATTCAGTTTGATTGATTTTTAAGTTAGTTAAGGATACCATGCAGTAACACATTTACTTTTATATAGAAGACATTCTTAAAGGAAATAATTCTGCTAATACAGTAGTAGAAACTAATTCTATCTTGGTGCATTGGTAAAATTATAAATATTAAGGGCAAACTTGTAAATTGGAGTTTAATCTTGAAAAAAAAACTGTCTCAAGTTTCAAAGTGTTTAAACTAAAAAGGAATTGCAAGAGAAAGTGTTGTTGGAAACATTAGTTTTTTTAAGAAACTAAGAATAATTTTCTTGATCTCTAAGAAGTGATGGAATAAGGTTGCAGGAGAAGAGGTGGGATAATATAACTATACTTCTGCCCACTCTTGAAAGTATAAAAATTGTATATTTGTAATGTTTCTGTAACCTTCTGTTCAATAAAATTAACAAGAAGAAAGAAAGAAAAAAAGAGTAGCCTACTTCAGCTGCCTACAGCGCTGCCATTGCCAGTATCACTCCACCCCCTGTTAACAATAGGTGTTAATTAGGTGTCAGCGATAGCCATGTGATGTGAGTATCAGTCACCTGGAGGCAGGACTCAAAAGCCTGAATTTTGCCTGAAACTCTCAGACTGAAGAAGTCTCTTGGAAGAGAGACGAAACGTTTCATTAAAGAAGAACCCGTCCAGAGGACCTATACAATTTTTTTCCTTTTGACTCATGAAACATGTATGACTGCCAAAGATTCTGGTGCATTTTCCCCAAATTCATTAAGCCCGGCACTGAGATTTACCTTAGCAGTGACCATAAAAGTAAAAATGCTTAAAGCCTCAGGGACCCAAACTGTCAGTTCTGCTTAATGTTTCAAAAATCATTTTATTAGGTAAAATCTAAGAGAATAATTCTGAGCACACAGTAGAGTTTGCCCTGTTAAGATTATAATGAATGTTAAGCGGAGGTAGAAGCTGCATTTACTTTTTAAATTTTTTGCTACCAATTAAATCCTCATAATATCTGGAAACGGTGGGAGAAAATGTGCAACATCGTGTGCCAATTTAATGAATCAAAGCCGTTAGAATTTTATATTTAAATTTTTCAATATTTTAAATAAATCTTAGCACAAAATAAGGACATTTGTGTTTGTTAGATTTTTATTATTGTTGTAAAAATGTTTCTTGGCAATATATCATATGCCATTGCAAATCCCTTTTAAATGGTGCCACACTTGTAAGGAACGTGCATCTGTGGGACGAGCGGTAGAGCTGAGCAGGTTGCACACATAAATTTGCACACATCTCTCTGTCATAAACAGCTTATTTAGCTGTCGCTATTGACTTGTTTTGAGCTTTTCGGTATTCCTGTCATAAAATTTATGGCCAAGAAGCACAAATTGTACTGTTTATCTAAGATTGTACCTCCCCACACTCTTGATTTCCATAGAAAAACGTATAGTTCTGCTGCTAGATTTCTGAACTCAGCCACTCACCCTTCTGGTTTTATTCAGTTGTAACTTATAATTCAGGGGGAAAAAAACTATTTTCTTTGACACGTTGACCTGTTGGTGAACTTTTAAGCCATTAGTGGAATCACACTGTCTTTTTGTTTAACCTAACAAAACACCATATTCTGGTAAAAAATCAGTTGTAACTTGAAAAATGGCTTTACAGGCTGCACTGTAATTTGTTTATGGTAATTATTCACTTCTGAGTTAAAAATGCAACACTGTACAGGTCAAAATTCTGAGACACAAAAATGTAAATGATGTGGGAAATTTCAAATATTTGACTGACTGTATACATTACTGTGGTCATTCAATCTGTTTTTAAAAAAAATCAGAGTTGAATAAAAGCAGCATTGTAAGGTTTTTGTTTTCTACAGCTTGTCCTGACTCTGGCTATTTATGCTGCAACTTTCAGAATAATCCCTTCGATCCCTGGGTGTTTTGATATTCAAACCACTTTTTTTTCCCAACTAAATCACCCTCTGCAGCCACTTAATTTCACAAAGACCACACAGAATTGTAAAACCCAAAATCCCACATTGGGAGAGTGCGGGCGTATTTCATCTTTTCAACGTTTCATTCCGAGTTTCAGTCTCCAAGGCAGCACAGGCTTCTAAAGCTAACATCTCTGGTAAAACTGAAGCACAAGAGAGGAATCTTTCTACACAATCTGGGTCAGTTCAGCTCCGTTCAACTTTAACACAGAAGCACAGAACAGAGCGCACCCTTCTG